GCGCAGCCTGTCTCCTCAGGCCCCGCCTTGTCAGGGGCGGGGCCGCACTCTGGTCGTCACGGTGACTCGGAGCCCAGTGCAAGGCATCATGGGAGACGATGACAGCGGGGGGGCAGGGGCCGGAGAGCCAACACACACGCAGCAGCACGTGTGGCGGCGATCAGCCCGCCGACAGCAACGGACGAGGCCCCCCAGTGGCCGGAGGACCAAACTGCAGGCAGATAAAAACACCCCTCCAACAAGGAAAAAAACGCCGAGGCTCACCAGCTGCACCCACGAAGGCGTGGACGAACCAGGGGGGCTCACGCGTGTCATCCAGCAGCGGGGTCACCCCTCGGTGCTCCAGGACCCCTCCAGCCGGGAGCTCGGCGACGCCCCTGCAGCCTGGGATAGCAGGGGGGACAGGGACCGTCAGCGAAGGGTCTCTCACACCCCCATACAGCACAGCACAGCGGCACCCCCACCTCCCCAGCGGGGCAGCCCACCGAGGGGGGGGCTAGCACACAGGTCGGCAAGGCAACAGCCATTGAGAAATGGGGGCTACAGCTCCCCCTCCGAGAGACCCCCAAAACCCCACAGGCACCTGGCGGCTCAGGGCGCTACACTAGGACCACAGGGCAGCCGGCGCCGCCCGTCTCCTCAGGCCCCGCCTTGTCAGGGGCGGGGCCGCACGCTGGTCGTCAGGGGGACTCGGAGCCCAGTGCAAGGCATCATGGGAGACGTAGTCCGCCACTTTCCTGCCTCGGCGACTCCTCCCCTCGAGGGAGGGCTGCAGGAGTCGAGGGACGGAGCTCGAGGTTTTAAAGATCGATGAGGGAAAAAACCCAGACCCCTGAAGGGCAGGCAGGCCAGAGGTCGAAGGTAAACAAGAGAGAGTTTTTAATCCGAGACGACTCACCCCTCTGCGTTAGGGCTCTGCATGTTGGCAAGTCAGGACACCTGGGGAAACAGGAGAAGGAGCATCAGACACTGCCCGCATCACAGCGGGAACGGAGCTCATTGGCTCCCGGCGCTGTCCGTCTCCTCAGGGCCCCGCCTTGTCAGGGGCGGGGCTGCACTTCGGTCGTCACGGAGACTCGGAGCCCAGTGCAGAGCATCACGGGAGACGGCACGCCCTCACAGCCGGAGGGGAAAAACCAAAAGAGACCGGCTCCAAACCCAGCACGACCACGGGCACCCCAAACCAGAACAGGAGCAGTAATGAAGCTCTTCAGCACAGAGCCCTGAGACTCTGGGCTCATGAGGACAGGAACTGGCTCAGTTCAGTCCTTCAGGGGGGTCTTCCCTCAGGGGTTATAGGTCACTGTGGTTCTGGGCTCATGAGGACAGTAACTGGCTCAGTTCAGTCCTTCAGGGACTCTGGGGGTCTTCACTTAGGGGTTAGAGGTCACTGTGACTCTGGGCTCATGAGGACAGGAACTGGCTCAGTTCAGTCCCTGAGACCCCAGTCCCACAGTCAGGGGTTAGAAGCCAGTGTGACTCTGGGCTCATGAGGACAGGAACTGGCTCAACAGAGCCAACAGATTTTTCACACCGGCGAGAAACATTTAAAAACATTTGCCCACGTTTTCTCACAGCGAGGCCGAGATGAGCGGACGTCTGGTCAAAAGCACCTCGTTAGAGAGACCCCAAAACCCACCAGAGCCAAATAATTTTTCCGGCCGGATCCAACACCGATAGACACGGCGTCTGGAAGCGGAACTCGAGTCTCACGCACACGAAGCCCCGGGGACCACAATCGAGGTGGCACCGGCCATGTGCCAGGCCGGCCGCGGACCCTCTGTCTGCGGGGGACTCGCTCACTTACTGCCAGCCTCCCGCTCTTAGAGCACAAGGCCACGAACGGCGGATTTTAACACGCAAGACGCGCGTTTCTACCAACAATAGCTGTTGCAGTACTTACGAGAGTCTTTGATTATTAAATTAAAACTATACGCCCCCTCTAAGTTAATTGGGAAGAGTTGCTTTAATTTAAAGACACTAGATCGTCAACCCTCATCACACATGGAGGCTTCTAGGTTACAACACCTTCCGTGTT